CCGCAGACATACCGCTGTGCTACTGGGGGGCACGTGAGTCTTCCTAGTGAAGAATCATTGTGATATTTCAGAAGAAAGATGACCGCAGGAATCACAAGTTCTTCGTACGGAGTTCGTTGCATACAAATTTGCAGGAATGTTGTAGTAATTCGATCTTCGTAAGTTACACAAGTATTTTTTGAATTCGGTATGAGTATAAAGTGATCAAAAACACCGAAAATCACGATGCCAAAAATTGCCAAACGGAAAAGTGATTTATTACGGAGCAAGTCCGAAATTTTGAGAAAGAAAATAAAACGTGAGGATTCAAGTTACAGAGAGAAGGAGCATCAAAGAAATAGGCCTGCTCACTAAATTATGAGACAAGATCCAGTGAGAAGAAGCCAGGAACAAACCAGAAATACAGAAGCACATCAACCTGCTCTCCAAAATCCAGTTAGAAGTCAGGGGAAATTTTGTAACAGAGAAGCACACCTTTCAGCTCACCAAGATTCTGATCGAACAGCCGCCGTAGGACGTCGTTTCTACTAGTTATAATGTAAAATGACAATAAAATTTATTTTAATATTTTATCTACAACTTCCGCCACTGATTAACTTAACCCTAGAACTATTGACTGGGTGAACATACAACTTTTTAAACATACATTTGTCTCGACTATTTATGCATTTAATTGTTCGTGGTTCCATGACTTTCTTGGTATGAACGGCTCCTAGTAACATGTAAATCATACAAAAATGAAAATAAATATACCAGTAACAATCCCACTAATTATTTCTAGGGTCCTCTATGTATTTCAAATAGAACATGAATGATTGTGCCCAATTTTTTGCCCAGTTCTTTGCATTGAGTGTTGTGACTGTTAGGGTTATAAATTTGCACAATATGGATCGGTAGTGAACAGAACAAGTACAAGTTGGTAATGTGAGTGTTAAAATATATCGAAACGTATTACCGTTATTTTTCAAAGTAACGTTCTTCTGTATTGTTCGTTAATTTTGCCGCAAAGCTATTGGAAGACTGTAATTGCTAGCCTTACATAGTTTTGAAGTGATAGACTAGAGGGAGGGCAGCTAGTTAACACCACCCGCCTCAAGTCGTGGGATTTGACCGTCACTCTTATAATGCACCCACGGCCCAAAAAAGTGCAGAGCACGAATTCTCCCCCTATCCCCGACGTTAACGTGGAGCGAACCATGAAACCTCGGTTTCACAGTCCGGCACGCTACCTATTTGAACAAGCTTGTAATTCATTTGATGTGCAACATTCCAGTAGACGAAACGAAACTTAAATATAAAATTAAACTATAATTTGCTAGAAAAAATTATAATGTAATTATTCTAAAGCTATTTAAATATACACACATCCATCTTCGAATTATTTTAAATTACTCACTAGCGCCATCTGTTGCCGATTCCTAATTCATAACATATAGTTATTGATTAATATATTTTTTATTATTGTATTAGACAGCCGAAGAAATCCTGACTGCTGCTTACGACAGCGGCATCAATGTTTTTGACACCGCTGATGGAAAGTAAGTATTGGTAATTTCTAATATTTTAAATACTGGATAAGGAACGCACAATAAATGTTGATACTTATGTATAATATTACAATTAACGTAATGCTATATATAAAGTAATGAATTGATTTTTTAATCGTAATTCAACATATTAAATTATCTTATTTTCACTAATTTAACAAAATTAATTACAATTGTTTGTTACCTATCATTATACTTTTATGTCAAATGTTTTCGCTATTAGCTCTTAGATTATGATAACAGATTGGATAGTGAGAGCGGTCCTCTTCGAGAACAGTTACTTCTTATGCCTTGTTGTTATTGTAACGTCGTAGAAATAAACCAAAGTGAAATTATTAAAATATTTGGAAATTTTATAGCACAGTTGACTTTATTAAGTCTACCCATAAAAATTATAATAATAGGGTACAAAAATATATGCTTAGTTAGAATTGTGGTTGTATTTTTGTTCTGTAACAATTCACTTGTTTTGAAATCTAGGGCAGAAGTGATGCTTGGAAAAATTTTGAGGAAAAAAGAGTGGAGGTATGTAACAAAATTTTCAACATTTATTTGATTCAAGTGCTTATCCAATGACAAAATTATTTTCTGTTGGTTTGAACGAAGCTGTTATCGCTATTTTTGAGAAAACGCCATTTTTCATACTTTTCTGCACTATTTTCTGTTTAGAACAATAATTCGGAGGGTTTGAATTTTGCTATTTTATCTCCGTGTTGGGTATTCTTATATAATCCACTTATTATTTTCTGTAGGAGTCTAACTCTGATATTTACACATTTTGTAACTCTACCTCGCTGTCTATACGCCGAAAATCGAACGCCTACCCAAACCTTTGAGAATAACTAATTGTATAAGTGAATTTTGAACAGTTTTCTTAAGATACTATTATTCCAGCTATCCTGATTAAATGCTATTGAATTGTTCAGTGTAATTTGATTCTAGCAGAAGCCGGGTGTGACCCAATGGTTAGCATACGGCGCTGGAGATTACAAGGTACAAGGTTCGAGACACACTATATTTCTGAACATGTTCTGCACCTTCAGCCGTGGGAGCGTTATAACCATGACAGTCAATTCCGCTATTTTGTTAAGAGTAATCCTGCGAGTACTATTACTTGATTACCCTCGTTTTAATCAGCAGTTCTAAATTGGTAAGAGCTATGTCTAGGTCACGGGGTTTCTGACTTAAGCTTTTAACGTGTTACATAAGATGTCGTTGAATTTGAAAATATTAAATATCAAAAATACTTCTAACTGAAATTGTAAAGAGTCGTATAGTTAAAGCGAAAGTTATGGTAATTGTACAGTTAGAAAACTTTATAATTTTTCTTCATTTACATGAGTCCCTCGATGGGTAAGTGGTAAGTCTACGGACTTACAGCGCTAAAATCCGAGGTTCGATTCTCCGCGGTAGACACAGCGGATTGTCCAATATGGCTATGCTATAAACAAAGAAACAAATCATTTACATCAATATTTAAATCACCTTCAGTAACTAGGATACATAAATCATTTTTCAAAAGTTTGTTTGTTTGTAGTTAAGCACAAAGTTACACAACGGGCTATCTGAGCTCTGCCCACCACGGGTATCGAAACCCGGTTTCTAGCGTTGAAAGTCCCCAGATATACCGCTGTGCCACTGGGGGGCTTTTCAAAAGTTTATTTAAGCGTGTGTCCTCCACTGATCAGTGGCAGGTTTACGGAATTACAACGCTAAATTCCAGGGTTCGATTCCCCGCGATGGACAGAGCGTAGATGATCCATTGTGTAGTTTTGCGCTTAAAACAAGTAAATATTAGGCGTGTAAAGTTTTCACACCTAAAATTTTAATGTCGTTTAGGAACAAATTTTAAGATCTAATTTTTCCTTTTTTTTTTTTGGTAAAACAATACTCAATTAGAAACTTTTTACTGTAAAAACAATCATATTTATTTTCAAATAAACGCAGATTTTAACTCAAGTTATATTTTCTTACAGGCGATCTAGTTATATCATCGTTACAAAAGTGTTTTGGACGGGAAGGTAAGTAATTATGCACATTCTTAGATTATATTTGTGAAAATAACGTTGACGAGAGTATTTTATGTGTTGTTAATTATCGATGTTGTATTTTCATGTTACTAGATCAGATGTTGAGAAAGGACTTTCAAGAAAACAAATAATCGAAGGCAAGTTCAATAATTTCACCGTTTTTACTTCCTGTAAAATCGCATGCTGACAATCTTTTAATATGCTTGCAACACTCACCTTCTTGTCGGACTGAATTCTTAGTTTTGTGCCACATGCCTCTTGATGTAAAAGTGAGCATACTTTAAAATGTGAATGAAAACTTCATACTCAAACATTACAGATCTACATATAGATTTTAATATATATTCATGTTTGTCACAACCTCCTCACGTATATTCGTGCGTATAAGCATAATTTGTTTGATCATGTGATCCATGAAATAGCTTCGTTTACTCTGTCGCTTGGTTTATGTGTTAAATGTGAACTTGTTTTACTCTCTTAGTGTCTATGATATGAAGGTTATCTTGGTTTTACACTGTTTACGTAGCCTATGACGTTTAAACTAGCATGATTTGTGCTGTCTTGTGGTCTATGACGAGAACACGCATGGCTTACAGTATCAGGTGGTCTAGGAAATTAAACTGGCATGGTGTATGATGAAAAATTAGCATGATTTACACAGTCGCATGATCTGTGATGACAAACAACAATGGTTTACTTTATGTTCAAACTTCAGATACCGTTCAAGTTGAAAATATCAAACATATCTTATCACTCCAAAAGTGGATCGGTATATTTCAGTTTAAGATTTGACATGGCTTGGTAGTTAGGGTGCTCGACTCGCAATCTGCGAGATACAAGAAAACAAATATTTCAGTTTATTACTCAAGTATTTATATATATGTGTGTATGGGATGTGAATATATATATTCATTCTTCAGTATATACAATTTCTAAAAATCACTACAAGTGACGCCATATTGCTTGTCCGAACGGAAAATTAACATAATAATTCTAATCGAATGAGTCGAAATTTTTTATGTATTTCTAATACACTTTGAGGCTAAACGCCCTGTTATGTTTACGTATGATTTACTTTTTATCTTTACATATACTTCACTACAGGGCTTCACGCTTCCTTAGAAAGGTTGGAGTTGAACTACGTGGACATTCTTCTGGTGAATAAAGCTGACCCCATGTGTCCAATGGAAGGTAAGTAATCTATTAAACCAAACTGGCTCCGTGTATCCAGTTGATGGTAAGTAATATATTAAACCAAACTGACCCCCATGTGTCCAATGAAAGGTAATTAATTTATTAAACCAAGCTAATCCCATGTGTCCATTGGAAGGTAAGTAATCTATTAGACCAAGCTGATCCCAAGTGTCCAATGGAAGGTAAGTAATCTATTAGACCAAGCTGATCCCACGTGTCCAATGGAATGTAAGTAATCTATTAGACCAAGCTGATCCCATGTGCCCAATGGACGGTAAGTAATCTATTAAACCAAGCTCACCCCATGTGTCTAATGGAAGGTAAGTAATCTATTAAACCAAGCTGATCCCATGTGTCCACTGGAATGTAAGTAATCTATTAGACCAAGCTGATCCCATGTGTCTAATGGAAGGTAAGTAATCTATTAGACCAAGCTGGCTCCGTGTATCCAGTTGATGGCAAGTAATCTATTAAACCAAGCTGATCCCATGTATCCAATGAAAGGTAAGTCATCTATTAAACCAGGTTGACCCCACGTGACGATGGAAAGAAATTAATTTACCTGACTAAGCTGACCTCTTGTGTCCAATGGAATGTAAGTAACCTATTAAACAAAACTGGCCCAATTTGTCCAGTGGAAGTAAGTAATCTATTAAACCAAGCTGTTCCCATGTGTCCAATGGAAGATAAGTAATCTGTTAAACCAAGCTGATCCATTGTGTCCAATGGAAGGTAAGTAATCTATTAAACCAAACTGGCCCCATGTGTCCAATAGAAGGCATATAATCTATTAAACCAAACTGGCCCCATGTGTCCAATAGAAGGCATATAATCTATTAAACCAGGTTGACCCCACGTGACAATGTAAAGAAAGTAATTTACCTGACTAAGCTGACCTCTTGTGTCCAATGGAATGTAAGTAACCTATTCAACAAAACTGGCCCAATTTGTCCAATGGAAGTAAGTAATCTATTAAACCAAGCTGTTCCCATGTATCCAATGGAAGATAAGTAATCTGTTAAACCAAGCTGATCCATTGTGTCCAATGGAAGGTAAGTAATCTGTTAAACCAAACTGGCTCCGTGTATCCAATGGAAGGTAAGTAATATATTAAACCAAGCTGTTCCCATGTGTCTAATGGAAGGTAAGTAATCTATTACTCCAAGCTGACCATATGTGTCCAATGGAAAGTAAGTAATCTATAAAACCAAGCTGTTCCCATGTGTCCAATGGAAAGTAAGTAATCTATTAGACGAAACTGGCCTCACGTGTCCAATGGAAGTAAGTAATCTATTAGACCAAGCTGTTCCCATGTGTCCAATGGAAAGTAAGTAATCTATTAGACGAAACTGGCCTAAC